GGGGCTTTGCCCCTGCCAGGCGTCCGCTGGGGCTGAGTCCTCGCACGGTTAGCTGAGCCGCCTCGTCCTCGCCGCCAGGGCACAGTGAGATTAAAAACTGGAGTCAACCGGGCGTGATGGCTCAGCCCTGTAGCCCACCACTCCCAAGGGCTTGCAGGTTGGAGCGCAGTCTGGTCATTGCAGCAATTTAGCGAGGTCCTGTCTCAGAGGTATAAATAAAATAAGGGCTGAGGACGTTCCTAAGTGCGAAGTCCCTGGGTTCACTCTCCAGTAACCCGAAAGGGGAAAACACAAAAATAAAACCAAAAGAACCCGTGGACTTCGTTGTTACCAGCTTTCATGGGCTTTGCCCGGAGAGGAGCAGGCGCTTGCTGGCTGCGTTGCTCACTGCTTCCCTGTCCCCCTCGGCCCTGCTGCAGATCTACACAGACCCCACCAAGAGGCTGGAGCTGTACTTCCGGCCCAAGGACCTGTACTGCCACCCGGTGTGTGCCAACCGCTTCAGTACCAGCAGCCTGCTGCTGCGGATTAGGAAGAAGACCAGAATGCAGAGAGGGGCGCGTGAGGCCGAGCCCCAGCCCCGGGTCACGTTCGACCTGGAGATCCTGGGCATCATCTCCACCATTTTTAAATTCCAGGGTAACCAAAATCTCCCGTGGGGTCAGGGTCTTCCTGGGCCTGCTGTGGATTCTGTTCACACCTTCAGCACCTCCCCAGAGGATGTGGGCGTCAGTGTGGCGGGGGCCAGTTGCTGGGCCAGTGTCCCTCTTGCGGCGTCCTCCACTCGTCCACTTCTCTGTCCAGGAATGTCTGACTTCCAGTACCTGGCCATCCACACGGAAGCAGGCGGCAGGCACACGTCCATGTACGACAAAGTGTTCATGCTCAAGCCCGAGAAGGAGAGTTTCTTCCATCAGGAGCTGCCGCTCTACATCCCCCCGCCTATCTTCTCCCGTCTGGACGCCCCGGTGGACTACTACTACCGACCAGAGACTCAGCACCGGTGAGGACCTGCCCCCGACCCCGCCCCTGCCACGGTGCTGGCCTCAGCCGGGCTGCAGCCGGAGTCCTGGGTCCGTGGCTTGCGGGGATTGGCGCACCTGTTCCCGGCCTTGTTCGCTGTCTCATACTGGCTGCAGTGGTTCCTCAACTGTTGTGAGGAAAGGGCACGGCCGAGCATGGGGCAAGGCCTTGATAAGCCAGGCCCCGCAAAGTGCAGAGAACTAAGCTGTGGGCCTCGAGGGTTCCTGCCGAGCGGAGGTCTCTTTGGTTTATTCCCCTGGTCCTTACTGCCAGGCCACCCTCTCCACCCAAGAAATGCTGTGTGTGCATATCCACTGGACCCAGCCCTTTGCCACCTGCTCTGCCCCCTCAGCCTCACTGTTCTGCCCAGGCAGGCGTCTTTGGCTTCCGTCCTTCCCTACCAGGCTTGCCCGCAGAAACTCCACCGTTTGCCCACCGATCACAGTTCCCGGCTTGGGTCCGCCCAGCCCCCACCTACCTGATGTCACCCCTCTAGCTGGCTGTGACTCCCTGGATCTTGTCCACTGTGTCCCGTCCCCTCCTCAGGACAGGCACTGGGTGTCTCTGGAATCTGTGGTGGGCTTCTACCATGCGAGGGGGAAAGCCATATGGTGACTCACAGGCACTGAGCACACACCCCTGGCGAGACCCCCTGGATTCGGGTGAAGGGCGCCCTGATGTAATTAGAGGCCGGCGTGGAGAGGCAGGCCTGGGCCTGGGCAAATGCCGGCTTTTCCCTGGAGCCCAGCCACCTGTTGACACGAAGGAATAGGATTTCCCATGTAGAAAAGCCGGGACTGAGTAGTGTGGACAAAAATGAGGAAAAAGACTTCGAAAATACCCAGCCCGAGAGTATTAAGTTCACCAGCGCCCCTCACTTGTGTGGCTGCCCTGGGCATTGTGGGCTTGGGCGGCATCCAGGCCCCACATTTCCTGCGTGGAAGCAGAGCCTTGGGTTCTTGCGCCACATGGGCAGCATCAAGCTCTGTCACACGAGCTCCTTGGCCTTCACACATGGCTCGGTGCCACCCTGTCCTTAGTTTTGTGTGCTTTCTTTTTTATTTAAAATTTGTGTGTGTGTGTGTGTGTGTGTGTGTGTGTGTGTGTGTTTTTGAGACAGGGTCTCCCTATGTAGTTGAGACTGACCTAGAACTCACTATGTAGCCCAGGCTGGTCTCAAACTCACAGTGATTCTCCTGCCTCAGCCTCCCCCGTGCTGGGATTATAGGTGTGCGCCTTCACTCCCGGCTCTGTGTTTTCTTTTTTAAAACCAGACATAAAACAGTTTTTGCTTCTTTTTTTGGTCCTGGGGATCGAACTCAGGACCTTGCATTTTCAAGGCAGGCAAAGTGCCACTGAGCTAAATCCCTGGCCCTCAGTTTTTAAAACATCTTATTTTATTGTGAGTTCTCCAAAGATCTCAGTTTGGCCTGCTCTGTTCTCTGCTGTAACCTCGGTGCCCAGAGCACAGCCTGGCCTGGAACTCTTGGGCCTGGTGGAGAAAGCTTTTAGGTAGCAAGGTCTGTGCCAACAGAGAAGCGGGCAGAGAGGACACCCTGAAGCACAGCCAATAGGCGGTGGTGGTCCTTAGCTGTGTTCCTTGGAAATATGGGCTCTGTACACTTATGCGGCTCAGTCCGGGTGCCCTTGCATGGAGAGTGCATGTGCTGGGGCAGACTCAGGAGCCCGATGTCTGGGCCGCATGGCAGTCAGCTCCATTCTGGGCCAGGCGGGAAGCAGGACTGAGCACGAGCAAATGGTAGGTCCCCTGGAGAGGTGGGTGGGGTGGGTGGGGGGGCGGAGGGGCTCAGGGAGCCCTGCA